CATCCGATAGTGGCAAACTCTCGACACCACGTGTTTGCCTTGAGACTTACGGAAAGCGCACTTTCGCATTTGCTGGTCCAACAATTTGGAACGCCCTTCCTGTCGATCTTAGAAACAACCAGACACTGGAGTCCTTTAAAACAGATCTAAAGACACATCTATTTCGCAAATACCTTCTGGGATGATTGTCAACCTTATTTTCCATGTGTTGCTTGGGGTTGAAATGGCTAGAAAGACTTTGGTATTGTATGCTTGTAATTAGTTTTTGTAGTGTTGTGTTTGTTTTAAATGTGGTGAATTATAGATATGTATTTTGTTGACTTTGTACCGCGCTTCGAGCCTTTGGGGATGAAGCGTGTTTTTGAAATGAACTTTATTATTATTATTATTATATATATTTGACTGTGTACGTCTGTGTGTATCTGTGTCTCTCTGTGTTAGTGTATGTGTGTGTGTGTGTGTTTGTATCTATGTGTGTATTTGGTCTAAATGCCTGTGTGTATGTGTGTATTTGATCTAGAGTCAAATTCATGACAAATTTTTACAATACCTTTATGACATTATAGACCACAATAAGACCACCAAAAAAATAATAAAATGCATTCGGTTAAAAATGTAAATTCATTTTACCTAATATTTTCAGGTTCCCTGACAACTGAGTTAGAATCTTGTCTCTAGAGATCTCTGTTATATTATACACAATCTTAAATCTTGAGATGATTTGACAGAGACTCTTTAGATCACTTTAACGTCCGGAAAAAAAATATATATGAACTCATTGGAGAAAATCACGACATAATGAAATACAAATACTTATTTGCCATTATTTGTTTTCCTAAACACTGGCACTTAAACACTAGAAAATAAACACCGACATTTCGAACAGGCGTACTAAATATGTTGGCGTTATCTTTTATAAATAGAAGGAGCGCTTCATTGCCGAGGGTTATCTATGGTGTTTCATGCAACGAACGGTTCCTGGAATCGGGAATTCCGTTTCGACCTCTGGCTAAAAATAACCACCCTCATTTCCAGGCTACTGTAAACGCTGATGAAACAATGCTCTCAGTTTGATGCCATGGCGCTTTATAAAGACAAGATGGCGAATGTCTTTAAACTCTTTTCGAATTAAGGCGTTGGACACCAAAAAAAAAATTGGAATGATAAATCTGTCGCTCTTTATTCTGTTACTCATCCAATGATTGCCGGGCACTTGATCTATGTAGATGATCGATGGATAAGAAACTAGAATGTTGTTCATTTAAATTTAATGAAGCACTATCGATTATTGAAACACTTGACGCTCACTGCCTCGGCTACAGGAAGTCATCGATATTTTTTTCAAAAATCGATTAATAATTAATTAAAATCATAGAAAAAAAAACCATTAAACTTCAAAGCTACTGGCGTAGTCAGAAATTACTTAAGGGTACTATGGCGGTCACAGCCGGTACTTACTCAAGGGTACTATGGAGGCTAAAGCTGGTCATTATTCAAGGGTACTTTGGAAGCTAAAGCCGGTACTTACTCAAAGCTTCTATGGAATCTAAAGCCGGTACTTATTCACGGCTTCTATGAAGGCTACGGCCGGTACTTACTCAAGGGTACTATGGAGGCTACAGCCGGTACTTACTCAAGGCTTCTACTTCTATGCAGGCTAAAGCCGGTACTTACTCAAAGTTTCTATCTAGGCTAAAGCCGGTACTTACTCAAGGCTTCTATGGAGGCTACAGTCGGTACTTACTCAAGGGTACTATGGAGGCTGAGCTGGTACTTACTTAAGGTTTCTATGGAGGCTAAAGCCGGTACATAATCAAGTGTAATATGGAGGCTACAGTCGGTACTTCCTCAAAGCTTCTACTTAGGCTAAAGCCAGTACTTAATCAAGGCTTCTATGGAGGCTACAGCCGGTACTTACTTAACTGTAATATGGAGGCTAAAGCCGGTACGTACTCAAGAGTGCTATGGAGGCTAAAGCCGGTACTTACTCAAGGCTTCTATGGAGGCTAAAGCCGGTACTTACTCAAGGCTTCTATGGAGGCTAAAGCCGGTACTTACTCAAGGCTTCTATGGAGGCTAAAGCCGGTACTTACTCAAGGCTTCTATGGAGGCTAAAGCCGGTACTTACTCAAGGCTTCTATGGAGGCTAAAGCCGGTACTTACTCAAGGCTTCTATGGAGGCTAAAGCCGGTACTTACTCAAGGCTTCTATGGAGGCTAAAGCCGGTACTTACTCAAGGCTTCTATGGAGGCTAAAGCCGGTACTTACTCAAGGCTTCTATGGAGGCTAAAGCCGGTACTTACTCAAGGCTTCTATGGAGGCTAAAGCCGGTACTTACTCAAGGCTTCTATGGAGGCTAAAGCCGGTACTTACTCAAGGCTTCTATGGAGGCTAAAGCCGGTACTTACTCAAGGCTTCTATGGAGGCTAAAGCCGGTACTTACTCAAGGCTTCTATGGAGGCTAAAGCCGGTACTTACTCAAGGCTTCTATGGAGGCTAAAGCCGGTACTTACTCAAGGCTTCTATGGAGGCTAAAGCCGGTACTTACTCAAGGCTTCTATGGAGGCTAAAGCCGGTACTTACTCAAGGCTTCTATGGAGGCTAAAGCCGGTACTTACTCAAGGCTTCTATGGAGGCTAAAGCCGGTACTTACTCAAGGCTTCTATGGAGGCTAAAGCCGGTACTTACTCAAGGCTTCTATGGAGGCTAAAGCCGGTACTTACTCAAGGCTTCTATGGAGGCTAAAGCCGGTACTTACTCAAGGCTTCTATGGAGGCTAAAGCCGGTACTTACTCAAGGCTTCTATGGAGGCTAAAGCCGGTACTTACTCAAGGCTTTTATGGAGTCTAAAGCCGGTACTTACTCAAGGCTTCTATGGAGGCTAAAGCCGGTACTTACTCAAGGCTTCTATGGAGGCTAAAGCCGGTACTTACTCAAGGCTTCTATGGAGACTAAAGCCGGTACTTACTCAAGGCTTCTATGGAGGCTAAAGCCGGTACTTACTCAAGACTTCTATTGAGGCTAAAGCCGGTACTTACTCAAGGCTTCTATGGAGGCTAAAGCCGGTACTTACTCAAGGCTTCTATGGAGGCTAAAGCCGGTACTTACTCAAGGCTTCTATGGAGGCTAAAGCCGGTACTTACTCAAGGCTTCTATGGAGGCTAAAGCCGGTACTTACTCAAGGCTTCTATGGAGGCTAAAGCCGGTACTTACTCAAGGCTTCTATGGAGGCTAAAGCCGGTACTTACTCAAGGCTTCTATGGAGGCTAAAGCCAGTACTTACCCAAGGCTTCTATGGAGGCTAAAGCCGGTACTTACTCAAGGCTTCTTTGGAGGTTAAAGCCGGTACTTACTCAAGACTTCTATGGAGGCTAAATCCGGTACTTACTCAAGACTTCTATGGAGGCTAAAGCCAGTACTTACTCAAGGGTTCTATGGAGGCTAAAGCCGGTACTTACTCAAGGCTTCTATGGAGGCTAAAGCCGGTACTTACTCGAGGCTTTTATGGAGGCTAAAGCCGGTACTTACTCAAGGCTTCTATGGAGGCTAAAGCCGGTACTTACTCAAGGCTTCTATGGAGGCTGAAGCCGGTACTTACTCAAGGCTTCCTCTTAGGCTAAGGCCGGTACTTGCTCAAGGGTACTATGGAGGCTACAGCCAGTACGTACTGAAGGGTACTATGGAGGCTACAGCCGGTATGTACTCAAGGTTACTATGAGGGCAAAAAGCCGGTACTTGCTCAAGGGTACTATAGAGGCTTAAGCCGGTACTTACTCAATCCATTAACTGTTTATTTATTCAATAAATTAATCATTCGTTTTGCACGTGGATAGTGTTAATTTTATGGATAAGATAAGAGAAGATAAGAGAAGAGAAGATAAGAGAAGATGGAATTCTTTTGTTGATCCAAACAAATGGAAATGTTTTATGATTGAATTGTAAATTTTTCAGCACGTATAAAAAACAATTTGAACACAAGACATTTGTAATACATTTTTTCACAAGCAGCCATTCCGTGAGTTCTCTTAGCCATATCAGGGTTTTATTAGTTCTCATTAAGATTTGTGACTTTAGGGGTTGGGGGGTGGGGGGTGGAGAGCATGCTGGTAATGCAATACTATGGCTGAGTGCGTCAATAACTGTCACGTCAATTATTATATACAATTTTCTTCACTGTGTGATGATCCAAACTCATAACATAATCTATCAATCAGGTCGTATGAAAATATGTCATTAGATCTCTGTTAGATGGACGATCATTAGATTTTTTTGTTGGTCTCAGCCGCAAGTCTTGAAATGCTCTGTTATTTAAACCTTTGTTTCCCTTTTTGGGGAACGTAGCCAGGTGTAACATTAGTCCATTTCCGTGAATTCAAACGTGTCTAGAAAGCCAATGTCAAGGACGTCATGGTCGCTGGATTTCCATTGTGCCTCATGCAGAAGGATACAATTGCCCATTTTCATCAGAGCCAAGTTCTCTAAAACTCTGAGTAGATCGAATTTGACGTATGTAGTGACATCATTTGCATCCTGTGTACAGACAATTACTGGTAATCAGCTTAGTAATAACATTGATGTATATGTATATTAAAATTTCGACAACTCAATAATTGAATATATTCAATAATGAACTCTGCGTAAATTGTAGTCATAAAACACAATTTTTTTTTTTAAAATGTCGAGACAATTATACAGAAATAATCATTAACAAAATGCGAGGGTAACTCTAACGCAGTGACGTCACTGGAGTTCATTTCAGAGCTTACCTTCTCTGAGATGAGTTTTTAATCCAAGGTTAACGAGGGACATTATACGGAGCCACTTACAGCATTGATGGTAAATTAAGTAGGTCACAGCGTTTAGAAATAGAAAAAATATATACTTTTACAACAACAACAAAGAAAAAAAACATAAAACAACAACAACAAACAACAACAACAAAAAAAACAAAAACAACAAAATAAAACTAAAACTAAAGAAATAGGAACACTGTGCCTTGCGGTTGAAATTCTTCTTTACCCGTCCTCACCGATACAAACATCTCAATACCTTTACCAAAATCAACTCGCTTTACCTTAGCAATTTCAGTTGACAAAATCGCAAGATCACAAAGCCTTGCATGTTCCATGGTGGATAAAGTGGTGGAAGAAAGGGCTGGTGGGGGCGTGGGGGGGATTGAAGAGGGACATTCATCCCATAAGCAGCACTTCTTTGCATTATATAGACGGGCGATATTTGAATTAACCTGTGAACTGAGTGCATTCGTGTTCCTCTCCGCTTCGTGATGGTCCCAGCTTGACCTTTGCTCTCAGTTGCCGAATCACCGGAAGAGTCTCATATTTCAATCTAGGCAAGAGAGGAACGCGAGAGGGGCGCACTCCGTTTCCTAGATTGAAATATGAGACTCTTCCGGTGATTCGGCAACTGAGAGCAAAGGTCAAGCTGGGACTATCACGAAGCGGAGAGGAACACGAATGCACTCAGTTCATACCCAAAGTCTCATATTTCAATCTAGGCAACGGAGTGCACCCCTCTCGCGTTCCTCTCTTTTTTTTGCCGCTCCCATTTGCTGAATCGAACCCGAACATTTTAACTCGCAACTCAAATTTCTCCCAATTTACTCTCAGCAAGTGATTAGACCAGCCGCAAAAATGTCCATCAACACTTGTTTTGCTGCAAATTTATAGTGTCAATCTATCATCCATCTATCCATCTTTCAACCCACCCGTCAGCCTATCTGTCTACCTCCCCTAAATTATGTTTTTGTCATTAGTCATCGTCAATGTGTCACTTACCGTAGAGTTATCACAAGTCTTTCTCTTGAAGACAAAGGTTTTCGAAAATTCGTTGTTCTTTTCTCAATATGAGGTCCAAAATGATCAAGAAGGATTTGAAAAGTTTCAAGGCGCATCCGAATATAGGAAACACATTTTTCTTCATCTCTTAAAACTTCATACAGAAGATGATGATATTCTCCAAAATTACCTCTTCGTTTAAAATTTCTGTGTGTCCCGTAACGTTTTGGGGTTCGACGTTTCCTTTTCATCCAAAACAGTAAGAGCAATTGCAAAGCCTCCATTATTGTTGCACCTAGTGGAACCAAACTGAGCAAAATGGCGCAATGTGTCGCCAGTGACGATACAAAAATGTAACACATTCGTTTCTCTTCCATTTTCTTGCCTATCGTCAAAATGGAGACAAAAGAGAAAGGCGTGCAAAACGAATGCACTCAGTTCACACCCTCAGCCATTGCAGTTATCCATTGACTAGCGGAATTTTTAGTTTAACAAAGACTTGTGAACAGGATTTTTGTTAGTCGCTTGTTTGACCTTAAGTACAACAACAACATTCTGTTGAAATGTTATCGTGACGGCATTCGGGGAGTATTGTTCAATAGTACTTTTCTCTGTACCTTTAATTTGTTTTTTGATATCCTTTCGGTCACGAACTACTAATGACTGGTTTAGTTTTCTAAAACATTTTGTTTTCTTATGGGTAAATATTGACCTGCATGTATATCAAATGTTTAAATGGCTTGATCAATGTCAGTTACGAATATCCGAGTAGAGGTCATGATTCGGACAAATACCACTCAGGACCGTGCGAGGGAGTTTGAAGGGGAAACTAGCCCCTCGCGGCTTCATAGTAGGTGCCAAAATTGCCCTAAAATATAAGTGTATTAATATTTACTTTTTTTTGGGGGGGGGGCGGGGGGAAGAAGCACCTAAATTGAGACTGCCCCCCACCCCCCCCCCCCCCCCCCCCCCGTATCGTTGCATTCGTTGCCACATCCATTAAGCAAGGAGATCTACACGTCCGGGACAATTTCAAAATAATACTGATTCAAAATTCTTGTTAAAATTTATATTACCTTCACACGGACAAGGACTTTACCAGCTTGTCCAATCAGAATTGGAAGACCAATAATCTCTAACAAAATGCTTTCTTTACCTCGGTCAGTTCCTGTGGAATGTCAGCGATTTTTAGTTCGAGGAATGATACTTAAGATGAGACAACAAACATTTAATTGTTAAATATAACAAACTTACATACAAACAGAAGGTGATTGATAGGTAAAGACCATGCATCCAGCGGGGGGGGGGGGTTTGCTTGGTGAATGAATTGAAAGGATGGGTGAATGAACACATCGAATGTATGCCGCTTAGAGGATGTGNGTGGGGGGGGGGGGGAGAGGAAAAGATGGAACACGCGGATGACTTTTGTTCAATTGATGAATCAATGATTGGTAAATCGGTGAAAGGACGACTTGATCGATTGGTAATTATCATGGAATAACTCGTTAGTCCGTTTAAGCTTACGCTTGTCATTGCTTAGAAATATTTGCTGAATTTTGAAATAGAAATAGATTGTCCCGAAAGACATTGACGCAAGTCTTGTCTTCATGTTGAAAATCAGCATTCGCAAATTGCGAACAAAATCGATGCATTAAGTTTGAAGTACAATTCTTTTTTGGTTTGTTTTCAAGTCTGGAATAAAGCTGATTAATTTATGAGATGTTTTGCTACGACTTTGTTCTACATAGTTTTGCAGTCCCAAAATCGCCGACGTGACCGAGGGGTGAATGAAGACTTAAGGCCAGAAATTTTAGGGTTATTTTCAGAAAAGCACACAAGTCAACAAAAATTGTAATAAAATAATGTGTGTCTAGAAACGCCCGAGTTTCATCTTATTTGCTATCTTACTGAGAGAAAAAAAAGGGAGAGAGAGAGAGAGAGAGAGAGAGGGAAGGAAGGAGTGAGGGAGAGAGACAAAGAGAATGAGAGGGAGATATAGATAAAGAAGGAGAGAGGGAGAAAGGGAGAGAGAAAGGGAGAGAGAGTCGGAGAGAGAGACAGAGAGAGAGACACAGAGAGAGAGAGAGAGAGAGAGAGAGATGGGGAAGGAGTGAGGGAGAGAGACAAAGAGAATGAGAGGGAGATAAGAAGGAGAGAGGGAGAAAGGGGGAGAGAGAGTCGGAGAGAGAGACAGAGAGAGACAGAGATAGAAAGTATCTGCTTACTGTCGGCTCTTGACCGACGACGCTCCAATCCACTGGATAAGTTGGACATGTTGGAAAGTTATCCAGCTGTGCGGGTGGGGGGGGGTGGGGGTGGTAGGGGGGGGAGTCTGTCTGAAAGATTGTCTTGCGGGATTTTTCGTAAGTCTTTTGACGGCCTTCTGTGGAGGAAAAAAATATAAAGGAGGGAATGGAAATATCAAGAGTTGCATAATGCGAGTGGATATGGTTGATCGGCATGTGGATGTGCTTATTTGAATGTTGGTATATTGATGGGTATGTGGAAATATTGATGGGTATGTGAAAATATTGATGGGCATGTGGATATAGTGATCGGTATGTGTATATAGTAATATTGATGGGCATGTAGATATGTTGATCTGTATGTGGATATAATAATAAGACATGTATGAAGTGGTTGCTCGATAGTAATACATTGCATGTGCACCATAGAGCAGCGCTTCCCCAACTTTTAAGTTTGGTGGACCGGTGGACGCATTTTGCAATTGCACCAGGGACCGGTGCCAGATTTATAAATTAAATTTTCCCCATTTTGTTCGATCATAAATATTTATTTTGTGCGGACCGGCCCAGTAAGGCTGGCGGACCGGCCCAGTAAGGCTGGCGGTCAGGCGGACATGAGTATGTATAATATATTAACAAGAAAATCTTTATTTGAGAGCCCACAACTCTGTAAGCGCCGCTTTTGGAAGATCTATTAATAGATTCAGCGGCAATTTCAGATTCAACAATAATATTGATACTATTTATAGAATAAGAAACCCTGTTGACCGTTAAATAAATTCAATGGGGGATTTCAGATTCTATAATTAGTACCACGACAATGGCTAAATTTTGGTCTTTTTTTTTCTTTTTTTTTTTTTGTTTTTTTTTTTTTTTGTTTTTGTTTTTTTTGTTCAAAGTGTTCTTTTGCCCCTAAGCGTACATACCTTACATAATTCGATACCAAAATTAATGAACTATTGATTGGGTAACTCAATGAAGCTGCATTAAGGTGAAAGTAAGGTTTAAGCGAATATATATACATATATATATATATATATATATATATATATATATATATGCGTCTGTGTGCGTCTGTGTGTATCTGTGTGTATCTGCGTTAGTGTATGCGTATGTGTGTGTGTGTTTGTATCTATGTGTATATATGGTCTAAATGCCGTGTGTGCATGTGTGTATTTGATCCAGAGTCAAATTCATGTCAAATTTTTACAATGCCTTCATGACATTATAGATCACAATAAGACCACCAAAAAAGAAAACGCCTTCGATTAAAAACATAAATTCATTTCACCTAATATTTTCAGGTTCCCTGACAACTGAGTTAGAATCTTGTCTCTAGAGATCTCTGTTATATCATACACAGTCTTAAATCTTGAGATGATTTGACAGCGACTCTTTGAAACGATAGATCACTTTAACGTCCGGAAAAAAAAATATACATGAACTCATTGGAGAAAATCACGACAGATTGAAATACAAATACTTATTTGCCAACATTTGTTTTCCTAAACACTCGCAATTAAACACTAGATAATAAACACCGACATTTTAAACACTAGAAATTAGACACTGACATTTAAACACAAGAAACTGAACATCTGTCACATGAATAATTGTACTGGAAAAGTCTCACTAGCATGAGAGTATAGCCAAATGAAACAATTGTACTACCGTATTTTCTCTTATAAGACGCGTCTTAAGAACCTATTTCAGATCGTTTTATTTTTAGTACTTACGCATATATTTATGTTACTGACAATAACAATGTTTCGATTCGGTGCTCAAGTATATTTATAAATAAACTTGATTCAGTTAAAACGGGAAAAAGAATGTTCTTTTATTGCTTTAAGATAAGAAAAGATAAGATAAGATTCTTGTATTGATCCGAACAAATGGAAATGGTTTTTTTAAATAGCATTGTCCATAAACATTTTCAGCCCAAAAATAAATACATATTAAATAAAAACTACTTTTGCCAACTAAAACAATTTAAACACAAGACATCTACATTATATTATTTAACTAGTTTAAAAAAAAAACAACATCATCCATTTGGTGAACTCCTTTAGTTATAAAGGGGACTAAATTGGTGATCTTTTAGATTTTGTGACTTCTGGGGGAGCACGCTGGTAAATTCCCACAGATTGGGGAACAAAATAATTTTAATATCTTTCAGTCCTCGCCCTGAGAGAAAGAATTACTCCTCTCTCTACAACACACCATCTGTCATACTATCAATCATACTATCCTATTATACTATCTACCACACTCTCTTAAACAGCCTCCATCTTACTGTCAACCCCACTATCTAAGATTAGCCTCTGCCATACCGTCTCACTCTATTTTACAATTTTTTTTATCTCGAATGCTCAATCTCTCTCCCCCCTCCCCTCTCTTTCTCCCCCCGTCTCTCTATCTCGCTCTTTCTCTGAATGTCTCAATCCTTCTCTCGCACAACCTCTCTATCCATCTGTCTATAACGCTTTCACTTCTTTTATCCACCACTCCCCGTCTCTCCGCTGTGCTTCGTCTGCCTGAGGCCCATCTATCATCACTTCTAACTGGCCGTGTTACCCGTTCCTCTCTCTTTCTTGACTTTTCAAATCTATGAATGATCTATCTAATATAACTATTAATCTATACGTAAAAATTGTCTGCCCATCCGTCAACAGTGTCTGTCTATCCATCAACATTGTCTGTCTATCCATCAACAATGTCTGCCTATCCATCAACATTTTCTGTCTATACTTCAACATGGTCAGACTATCCATTCCATTATTTGTCTATCCATCAAAATTGTCTTTCTATCCATCAACTTTGTGTGTCTATCAATCGAAATTGCCTTTATATCCATCACAATTTTCTATCTATCCATTAACATTTATTATCTATTCATCATCATTATCTGTATATCCATCAACATCATATATCTAGTGTCTCATTTTTATTTACTTAGTTTACATGTTTTAATAATTGTAAAGTGCTTAGAGCTTTATGATAAGCGCTATATAAAAATGCCTAAATAAATAAATAAATAAAATATCTAATCCATCAACATTGTCTGTCTATCCATCAACATTGTCTATCCATCAACATTGTTTGTCTATCCATCAACATTGTCTATCCATCAACATTGTCTGTCTATCCATCAACATTATCTGTCTATCCAATTGCCATTGTCTGTCTATCCAATCAAAATTGTCTGTCTATCCATAAACTTTGACTGTCTATCCATCAACATTGTCTGTCTATCCAATCACCATTGTCTGTCTATCCATCAACATTGTCAGTCTATCAATCAATATATTTTGTCTATCCATCAAAATTGTCTGTCTATCAATCAACACTGTCTTTTTATCCATCATCATTGTCTGTCTCTCCATCAACATTGTCTGCCAATTCATCAACAATGGCTGTCTATTCATCATCATTGTCGATCTATCCAATCAACAATGTATGTCTATCCAATCACAATTGTCTGTCTATCGATCAACATTATCTGTCTATCCAGTCAACACTGTCTGCCTACCTATCAACACTGTATGCCAATCCATCAACATTGTCTTCCTATCCATCGACAATCATCGACAATGTCTGCCTATCCATCAACAGTGTCTTTCTTTCCATCAACAACGTCTGCCTATCCATCAAAATTGTCTGTCTATCCATCAGCAGTGTCTGTCTATCCATCAACATTGTCGGCCTACCCATCAAAATGTATTCCTTTGTTGGTTCATCTGTTGGTTTGCTTGTTCATTCATCTAGTCGCTCGTCACTTGTTTACCAACCCTCCACCCTCGACCCTACATTTGTAAAAATAATTTACTCAATCATCTGAAGATTGTTCGGTTCACTTTATTATTATGGAAGGTGGGGCGGCGGGATGATGGGACGGTGGGGGTGATGGGACGGTGGGATGGTGGGTTGTTGGGGCGTTAGCAAAGTAAGACTTTGGGCAGGAGGACGATGGTGGGACAGCAGGATGGTGGGATTGTGGCAAGGTAGGATAGGGGTACAGTCGATAGGTGGGATTGTGGGATAGTGGTACAATCGGAAGGTGGGATGGTGGCACGGTAGGATAGTGGTACAATCGGAAGGTGGGATGGTGGCACGGTAGGATAGTGGCACAATTGGAAGGTGGGATGGTGGCACGGTAGGATAGTGGTACACTCGGAAGGTAGGATGGTGGCACGGTAGGATAGTGGTACAATCGGAAAGTGGGATGGTGGCACGGTAGGATAGTGGTACAATCGGAAAGTGGGATGGTGGCACGGTAGGATAGTGGTACAATCGGAAGGTGGGATTGTGGCACGGTACGATAGTGGTACGATCGGAAGGTGGAATTGTGGCACGGTAGGATAGTGGTACAATCGAAAGGTGGAATGATGGGACGGTGGGACGATATGCGGCGAGACGACGGGCGGTGGGGCGATGGGCGATATGATGGTGGGATATGGGATGGGTTTTTTTTTTGCGGTGGGGAGCGATGTTTGGGACTTTCAATTTTCTGTTTTAAGTCTGTAGCTAAAATGTAAGTTTACGTACTTCCATAATACATGCACCCCCCACCCCACCTTTTTGTTGCCAAGTTCTTGGTATGTGATCAACCAGGCATGACTATTTACATACGGACGGGATCAATAATTCTTATGTCAGCATGGGCTGAAATCTTTGACTAACGCCTTCAGTTTCAGATCACAAAGTTTTGATTTGAAAGGTCATCGCCATGTCCATTCCTTATATGCGATGAATATTTTGGGAGGCCAGGCGAAAACAGAGGAAGTTACGACAAGAAAGAAATAGACCTCCCCATGGTTGGTTAAAATATAACTTAGATCTTTCATGTGATACCACGTTTAGTCTCACAAACCCAACAATGATATTTTAAATATTTTTTTTTTTTTATAAACCCAACGTCTCGCTCTTGAATCCCGTGTCCGATTCGCCGCAGCCGTAGATCAATGGTAATTTTTCTTCTTGTATCAAGAGTGTCTCTTGTTTACATTGGTTCTGAATTTCCTCCAGCGTGTAGCAAAGGAGGACCAATCAACTCCACGCGCTGGTGACATGCTTAGTCACGTGTCAATCATTAGACGGCTGAACATTATCTCACAGAAAGTGAACATCCCCCAAAATGTCTAAAACATAACATGAACACGTAGAGCATAGAATTCCTGATAGCCTAAATTATCAATTGTTTGTTAGAACACCCGTCATACTTTACCTTTTGCCAACCAGCTTGTTAACACATCATTAAAAACGTTTCTTGTGCCAACCAGCTTGTTTACACATCAGTAAAACAAACTTTTATTTTGCCAACCAGTTGGTTAACACACTAGTACAGCCTTTTCTTTTGCCAACCAGTTTTTAAGTGCACCAGTAAAAACTTTTCTTTTTCAACCAGCTTGTTAACACACCAGTAGAAAAAAATTATTTTTTTCAACCAGCTGGTTGGCACACCGCTAAAAACGTTCCTTTTGCCAACCAGTTTGTTTAAAAACCAGTAAAAAAATTCTTTAGCCAACCAGTTTGTTAACACATCAGTCAAAACTTTTCTTTTGCCAACCAGCTTGTTAACACACCCGTACAAACTTTCCTTTTGCCAACCAGCTGGTTAGCACACCGTTAAAAACTTTTCTTTAGCCAACCAGTTTGTCAACACACCAGTAAAAAACTGTTCTTTTGCCAGCCAGCTAGTTCACATAAAAATAAAAACGGTTCCAGTGTCAACCTGTTTTGTTTGTGTGTGTGTGTTTTTTTTTTTTTTTTTTTTTTTTTGCCACCCAGAAAAAACTTTTTAATTTTTAAAGAATTAATTTGAACAAAACATCATTGCCTTTTGAA